GCTCAAACTGTTAGACCTCCATCCAGCATCCAGGAGATGTTACCTGGATCACGGCAGTGCGACCATCACCAGCTGCTGAACGAACATAACAACAACTTACGCGAAGCACTGAGCTGCTGTCATCACCCAGTTCGGGGCCACTAAGAAGCCTCCACAGAAATGGTTGTTCTTTCCTTGCAGAAAGGCCACGTACGGCGTGGAGCGGGTCCTGGCTTCACCTCCTCCCTCCACCTGATTCCAGGAATAATCTGCAATGGGTGGGACTGAGGGTGAGGGACATGGACCAGTTAGAATGAGTCCAGAGGAGGCCACGAGGATGATCTGAGGGTTGGAGCAGCTCTGCTGTGAGGACAGGCTGAGAGAGTTGGGGCTGTTCTGGAGAAGAGAAGGCTCTGGGGAAACCTTCTAGTGGCCTCCCAGTACCTGAAGGGGCTACAAGAAAGCTGGGGAGGGACTTTTTACAAGGGCAGTTAATGACAGAACAAGGGGAAACGGCTTTAAACTGAAAGAGGGGAGGTTTAGATTAAATATTAGGAAGAAATTCTTCACTGTGAGGGTGGTCAGACACTGGCCCAGGTTGCCCAGAGAAGCTGTGGCTGCTCCTCCCTGGAAGTGTTGAAGGCCAGGCTGGATGAGGCTTTGAGCAACCTGGTCTAGTGGAAGGTGTCCCTGCTGCTGGCAGGGGGGTTGGAACTGGATGAGCTTTAAGGTCCCTTCCAACCCAAACCAGTCTGTGATTCTATGACACAGCACCGGACATGCTGTCTGGGATTCTTCCTTCCCCAGCCCTCTCCTCACTTCCAGGCCACTCTACTTACTGGCTTCAGCCGGGGGGCAGGTCACCAGCAGGAGGGAGAGCAGGAGCTGCTTCTGCAGGTGCTTCATCATGGCGTTCTCAGCTTCAGTGGATCCCTTGGAGGTGAGGCTGCAGCTGGGGTCTCTTCCTGCTCCCAGCAACATTTTATAGCCTGAGACTAGACACCAGGAAAACCACAGAAGTCAGACTCATCTGATTAATCTATCTGCAAATTGCATGCCTCAGCGATCTGAGAGGGGAATTCAGTCAGCATTAGCCTTGGGCATCAACCCACCTTCAGCTTGGGCCTGACCTGGGGTATCTGACATCCTTCTAAACCTAGAGCCATTGCCTTTGAGCTGGAAGCTGTAGGGAGCACACCCACCCTCATCACTTTGCCTGCCAGTGTGCTCTTCCCTTGCAGCTCATATTTGCTGTTGGGTACCTGCAAACTCTTGATTTTTATCATGAGCCCCATGAGAACAAGATTTCTTTCACTGTATGTACCAGTTCCAAAGACCGTGCTGTGGCAGTTGAGGACCCTCCTGCTCTTTCTGGCTAGTAGAGCAAAGTTGGTGTGAGTGCATTTATAACACCACCCTGGTCATGGCTGTTTGAGGGCAAGAAATTGTTATGGCAGCGTCATGAGCGTGGCCCACAGCAGCACGACGGCTGCTTTTGCCATGACATCTCTCTTCTGCACCAGCATCAGCTGCTGACTCAGGAGTCTGCTTTGTACAGCAAAAGACACCATTTCAGGTGTTTCTTTCCAGATGTAGTCGTTCACCATTGAATTGGGGCGTTGACTGTCTCTTACCAGCCAGTGTGAGAGAAGACAGGAGGACACTTCAGTGACCCTGGGCCAGGGGCTCACTTTCCCTCTGATGTGTTGAGAGTGGCAGGAGACAGGAATGCAGGTTTGGGACTCTGCCCCTTCACTGGCTAGAGCTATCCTGACGACACGTCTCCCTGAAGCTGGTCTTGTTTTTCTGGGAAGGGGCACGTCCAAGCGTGTCACAGCCAGTGCTGCCCCTACCCTGGCAGGGAGGGATTTTTCAATAGCAAACAAGTGCCAGGTACCTTTCTGCCGTGCATGGCGGGGATCTGTCATCCCTGGAGCAGGCCCCGCGGTGCCTGCACCTCCTCCTCCTCCAGCTCATGGTCAGAGGGACCATGCTGGAGGAAGAGCTGGTGGCACATCGCTGAACACGCTCCCCCCTGGCCCCCAGGATGTCCCCTTGCCTCCCCACTGGCACCAGTGCACAGACTCCATCGAAAGGTGGAAGATGGGCACATCTCTGCGCTCACGCCAGCAGCGGTTCCTTCCATCGGCTGTGACGAAATGGGGCTGACAAGTCCTTGACTCACCTCACTGACTGCCAGTAAATTTGCTTTCCTCTCTGCCCCCAGTGCCACAGAGAAAAAACCCATTTTTAAGCTAAAAGCTGCCATTCTCGTGCAAAGACTGCAGCAGCTGGAGCTTCAAGGAAAACCCTGCCGTGACAGAGATTGGTATTATGCAGATAAGCAGTTGCACCCTTTTCACATGCAGATTTCCTAGCTGATAGCAGCCTTAGCAGAAGCCCAAACCATGGACCTTTCTCAGTTTCCCCAGGGTGGCATGGGTGCTGAAGGCAGAGGTGAGGTATTTTCCCTTGTCCCAGGCAAGAACAGGGAGAAGATAAGAGCAGACATCCAGGGCTGGACTGCAGGCCATCTCCTCCCTCTGAGAGAGGTGACTAGTGGGAGCTTCGGAAGGACTGTGAGAACAGGGCAGGCATCCTGTTCCCTTGACTCGCGTGCAGTTTCTGTGTATGTAACATTCCCTGCTGTGTTTTCTTGCCACAAACCAGTCCAGTCTCCTCTTGAACTTGTACAGACACCTATTGTCCTGCACTGGGGAGTTCTGCAGCTCCGTTATTTACCAATGCACTGTCTCTGCCCCTTGTCATCTCCTCCAGGAAAGTGTCTGTCGCTCTCCTATCTGTGTATGAGAGATGCCATCAGGAACTAGCTGGGGCTCGAGAGTTTACACAGGTTGCTTTACACCCAGTGCAGGCCATGGAAGGAGGGGCTGGCACAAGCTTTTCAGGCTGTGGTGCAGGGGCTGTCTCAAAACAGTGCTGGAGCATCCTTTGCGAAGAGGAGAAGCTCACCTCTGCACATCACCTGGCTGAGGGGAGAGTCAGAAGCCCTTTTGTCTTGTGCTATTGCTGGAACAGTCTCTGCTTACACTGTACTGCTGGGGCTGGGCTTGCCTTCCTGAGAGGGACAGAAACATGACAACAAGCTCTAAGGCAGAGAGCTCCCAGCTAGAACTGGCCTCT